TTTTTTTTTTTTTTTTTTTTTTTTTTTTTTTTTTAGTAAGTGTTCCTTTCTATTCAACTTTCTATTTAATTTATTGTCTAAATGGGATAACATCTGAGCCTTTTAATTCTGTGTCAGAATGAAACTTCCTTCCTTTGGGATTTCAGACTGTTTTTGTGGGTAATCCTCCCACACTGTCTCTCAAGTGGAGAGGAGAAACTAGAAATTTTTCACTTTGCAACTAAGTAGTACCATACCAGGTGGATTAGTATATATGGTATGTTTATATCTTAATGACTAACCTTTGTGGTTCCAAGCTTTATACCTCATTTCTCTCTCTCTTTTTTTAATCGTCACCTGAGGCTATTTTTTTTGTTGCTTTTTCAGAGAGATTGGGGGGGAGAGAAACAGAGAAACATTGATGTGAGAGAGACACAGCGAGTGGTTGCCTCCTGCCGGCGCCCCTGCCGGAGCTGAGCCCTTGGCCAGAATCAGATCCGGGACCCTTTGGTCCATTGGTCAACGCTCTAACTACTGACCCAAACTGGCTAGGGCCCTCATTTCTCTTGAAATCAAAATTTGGGCCTCAGAATCAGAAGGATGGGATGAGCGCCACTTTTTTTTCCTCCCAGGGTCCTCTAGTGGCCATCCTGGGCTAGCCTCTGAAGCCACCCTGTAAACAAGGCCCTTAGAAACACATGTGGGTCCTTGAGGGAGGAAGGGTGTTGGGGAGAGGAAGTTCATCCCTTTATGCATAATGAATCAGTGTTACTTTTTTTCTTTTTGTTTCCTTGCTTGTTTGTTTAGTTTTACTTTAAATAAAAAACGGTACTTTTATATAATCAGAAACAATACCACCGTCTACAAATATCTATACCATTTTAATGACTCAGTAGAATCTTGGGAATTTAAAATTCAACAATTGCACAAAGTTTTTCATTCTGGTTAACAACTTAGAAAACAATCAATTTAGTTTCCTCTTCCCATCCGCCCTGGATAACTCATATAATATGTATTAATAATGACAGCGAGCATTCACTGAGTGCCATCTACTTGCCACCCACTCCTGTTTTTCTTTTTCTTTTTCTTTTTCTTTTTCTTTTTCTTTTTCTTTTTTTTTAAAATATATCTTTATTGATTTCAGAGAGGAAGGGAGAGGGAGAGAGAGACAGAAACATCAATGATGAGAGAGTCGTCGATGGGCTGCCTCCTGCATGCCCCCAACTGCGGATCAAGCCCGCAACCCAGGCAGGTGCCCTGACTGGGAATCTTACCTCGATCTCCTGGATCCAAGGTCGATGCTCAGCTGCTGAGCCACGCCCAGCCAGGCTCACTCCTGTTTTCCAAGCACATCCCATGCTCACTAGAATGTTAATTCCATGAGGGCCGAGACTGTATCCATACACCTTATATTTGTTCCTGGCCCGTAGCAGGTGCTCAACACATATTTTTTAACAAATGGAAGAAGAAATATCTCATTGAATCCTACAGTAATCCCATTTTAATACTCTGGGAGCCTGCAGACAGAGACTATACCTTCTCCCAAGCATGCACGGACAGTGACTAAGCTGACCATACACTGGGCTGTAAACCTCAGTAACTGGCCCAAATGAGGAGGGGTGCTTACTGAGCACAGTCCAGGGACACAGGAGGCCTCTGGAGCGTGGGTGGGAGGGG